TGCTATGTGACATTTTCTCATGATTTCCACAGGTAATTGTTGAATGAATTTCAACCTAGATATTATATTAGTATTTGTTCTTCTATGGGAGGTGAATATACAATGCTATATATATAAGAACAATTTAACAAAAAGACATATATATATATGTATATGTCTTTTTGTTAAATTGTTCACCTGAAACTTACTGGATTTTGTTAACCAATGTCACCATAAAAAAAAATTTTTTTTAAGTATTTGTTCTTTTTCTAAGAATTGCTTTGAGAAAAATAACCCACTAAGGAGCACGCGTTTCTTCATTTGCAGTACCATTCTGCAAGAATCAATGCCCATTCTTTATAGCCTAAAATTTTACAATTCTTGAAAGTCCCTTAGTCTTATGGTGAATCATAGACGTGGGCAGTAAGGACACATGGAAAAAGCATTGGCCTTGAACTCAAGAAACTCAAGTTTGATTTCTGGTTATCCACTTATTAGTTACGTGACCTTACAAATCACCCTTATCGTTCTGAACCTCCAAATATGTACCTATGGACTGTTTTCTACTGTTTTATGTATTTGAGAGGCTCCTGAATCAGATAATCATGTAGATAGAATTTGTTTACCGGTTTTTTCCACTCTCTGCTTTTAGTCTGTCTTTTATTAACTTTGAGTATTGGTGAGTCAGATTTGTTTATTACTTTTCCTTCAAGGATATTAAAAATGAGTGAATTCTCAGTTACCTCTCTCACGTGCAGAGAATTTAAAAACACTGATACATGAATACAATTTATAAAGTTATATACTTAAAACTTACTCTAATCAAAATACAGAGTCTGGACATAATAATATGTTTCTAACGTTTCGTTGTTAAGGATTACCAATAGATGGAAAGCTCGGGAATGGAAATTGATTAGAGTTCAGCAATTGAAAAAGTATAGCCTTTTACCTCGTCTCCTTGCTTACTTTTCGCTCACCTTCGGTCTGTTCTCAACACATAACAGCTAAAGTGACCCTATTTAAAATATTTCATTTAAACTTTCTGTTCCAAACCCTCCAATGGCATTCACCACCTTCTTAGTAAAAGTCATCACAATGGCTCAGAAGACACTACACGATGTAGCCCCCATTAATTCTCCTTTTACTTATCCAATCAGGTTTAGCCTCCCTGGCTTCCTTGCTATTTTCTTCTGTATCCTAGGCACACTCCCTTTCGAGAGCCTTTGCGCTTTCTGTCTTACCTGCCCAGAGTGCTCCTTCCTCAGACGTCTGTATAGCTCACTTTGTCACCTCCTTCCATTTCAGAAGCCCCTTCCTGGAACTCTTTATGTTCCTTTCCTGCTTTATTTTTTCCATAGCAACGATCATTTAGCATGCTACGTGTTTTGTTTATTTATTACATATCTCTTCTTGGTGGAACGTAAGTTTTCATGAGGTCAGGGATTTTCGTCTTTTTTATTCCCTAATACCTAGAACCAGTACCTAGCATATACAAAAAGCATTCAGTAAATATCTGTTGAATGTTGAAGGATGCCCGACTTCTTTGCAGAACTGTAGTTTGTCTGAAAGGTACTCAGTTCTTCCCAAAGAAATGAAATTCATGAGAGCTTCTTCCACTAGTGCCTGTGAGACAAAGGACTCTTTTGTGAAAGCCTTCTGCTTACTGTGTTTATTAGGTTCTCTCATCTTGGGAAGTTCAGTGGGTGTAATCAGGCCATAATTAGTGAAGGGTATTGCTGCAGTGTATTATAAAAAGTGACAGTAGTATTTGATACCACCAACTGGATCAAGCATTCCTCTTCTTTCTCATGGTAAAGAAAGTATGCTGGGAAGTCATGTGAGGATTATTTGGAATCATCACCATGAAAGAAGGTGAAACATTTAGTCATGTTTATCCTGGAGGGATGTCAGTATCTGAGATTTGTGAGCTATTTCCAAGTGAAAAGTTAGCTGAAAGATGAAGATTAGCGCTTAAGATGTTAGAGTTTATAGAATATTTTGATGAGATTGGGGTAAAAGAAATAAAATAAAAGTCAAGGTTTATAAATCTGAGATAGTCATAAATATATCTGGCCCCCAAAATATGGCTCAAGATGGTAACTAAACACGTGTATTTGTCTCCCCTTCCTCCTGATTAAAATAACAATAAGGAATGAAGCTTATTGCTACAGAGAGGAATAGTTAAGAGTAGATTAAAGAATTTGATACTATTTTGGGAAAATGAAAAACATGGACAAATATTGAGATAAAAGTATACTAGAAAGGGGCCACAGCCTAAGTGGAACCGTAGAGAGACTCCTAATGCCTTTGCCCCTGCCTTCTCTTCTCTATGTGTGCGCGCACACGCACACACGCACACACACACACACACACGTGTGCATACGCTTTAGCATGCTTGCATGCAGCCCCATACACATATACCACACACCTTTAAGCAAAGCTACTGCAGCCCTGCATTCACCTCCAGGCAGAAAACTCATCTCTTAGATATTAAAGGAAACTGCCAGGAGAGAATTACTCATGTGGGTATTAGTATTCCAGAGTAAATCCTTCTCATTCTAGAAATTGAACAGCTGGCACCCAGTCTGGTAATTCTAAAGCAAAACCCTCTAGGTAACAAACCTTGTCCACATTCAGAGTCCCTGCTCATCCTTCCCTAATTAAAGAAGAGACTCGGCAATAAAACATACACAATAGCAGAGGAAAGTCATACTTGCAATCTAGAATTCATTTTTAAAAATATCAATGGATAACCAAGGATCACCAGACATATGACATTAACCAGTTGCTTGGAAAGAAAGGCTACGATGAACAGAATAACTTAATTGTGGGGGGAGCATAATTTAGGGAATAAAAAAGCACTGAATTTTTTTTTCCTTTTAAGTTCTCAGAGATTTTGGAAAACATTGCATCTGTTAAGAACAGGAAACTATGAAAAAGAAAGCATCAGAGAATCAGAGCCCTTAGAAACTAAAAATATTGCTGCAGAAATTTAAAAATTCAACACAAACATTGGAAATAAAAGTCAGGTAATCTGTCCTAGAATACAGACTAAAAAGACAAAGACATAGAAAGTAAAGGGAAGGAAGAAAAGGATAGAGGGGAATAGATCAAGATATTGGAAGTTCCAGAAAGAGAAGCGTCTGTGGCTTGAAAGAGTCCACCAAATGCCAGAGAAGTTGAATGGGGGGAAAAAAAAACACCGAAACCTAACACATAGTACACCATGGCAAAACTTTAGAACGACTGATTAAACAAGAACAAAAAATTCTTGAGAGGATGAAAACACACTGATAAAAGAACAAAAATCCAGCTGGCATCATGTTTTAGCAACAATGGATGCTAGATGATACTGGAATAAAGTCTTCAAAATTCTAAGAGAATTTCATTCCCTCGTTCATTTATTCGTTCAACAAATATTGGGTGCGTGCTATGGGGAGAGGCGCTATTTGTAGGCATTATTATTGAACTAAATAAGCCAAAAAAAATTCTGCCCCCATGGAACTTACATTCTAGTAAGGAAGAAGAACAAATTGTGGATGTGAGAGACAAAGAGACAGTGATGTTGAATGCTAGAAAAAGTAAAACGAGGAGAGACAAGGAGTGCCGGCACAGAGGGGCTATTTTCAGGTTAGATTTCTGTATCCTGCTAAGGTACAGTGGAGCTTTAAGAGCAAAATAATGAGAATCTTAGATACGCAAAGATTTCTAAAAACCATGTCCCATCAATCCTGAGAAAGTTACCTAAAAAATGTGTTTTAGCCACACAAGAGCGATAACGAAGACAAGGGGTCTTAGAAGATAATAGGAATACCAAAAATTTTAGAACCCAGAACTTTGGGGTAAAGGAGTCCCCAAGATGACAGCTGTTCATTAAGACTACTTGTTGGTTTTCTGCAGCACCTCATTTGTTTACTACCTCTACTGGATCTTTTTTTAAAGTCAAGAATATTTTCTTTATGAAAATAATCTTTCTTAATCCAAGACTTTTCATTTTTCAAACGTGCCCTCTTTTATGACTCCGAACTAGAGATTTAATGTTTCTTCTTGTTTCATATATTCCAAAAAAAGGACATTAATTTAGGTTTGGCACTCTTCCTTTGTTTGATCTAAGTCTTTCATATGTCTGGTTTTCTCTTACTCATATTTACTGAAAGCTATTCTTTATTAAAATAGTTATTATTTATGTAAAAAAGTTATTATTTATGTCAGAGTTGTATTAAACCCCTTTTCAAATCCTTCTGACACAAAAAAGAAGGTGAAAAGTAAAGTTTATAATCAACTAATTTGCTTTGCTAAATTAGAGATGTATTTGCCCGTGGAGAGAAAGGAATCCATAGCTAGCGAAAGCACGTAGCAAGATGCTTTAGCACAAAGTCAGAGGATGTTAGTTATTGCAGCTCTAAATTAGCTGGGGCCCTGTCTTCTTTCTCTAGTTGTCATAGAAGGCTCAGTAAAAGCCCACTTAGGTATGCTTCATTATCTCTTTTACCTGGAATGTTTTTCTCACTAAGTTTAAGCTTGGCTTATTGCTCTATGTGCAGTCATCCAGTATCTTTCTAACTGACATTTGCCTCCTACTTACTGCTCCTTGATTCCTTCGTGATTCCACTCAGCTATGAGGTAGTGAGTTTATTGGAGTCCTGCTAAAGACTCTTTCCACTTATTCTCCAGGTGAGTTTTTCCTTCTTATGCATGACTTAGTTGGTCTTCTTTCAATCTATGACCACTTTTACTGTGGTGATTATATCTAGATTCCAATATTCAGATTTTTGGCCCCTATTTTATATTCATTCCTTTGGTAATTTCAAAGGGTAATTTGGGATGGTAAAGGAATTCTGAATTTACTCATTTCTCTCATTGATCTTGCCAGCTAATTAAGTCAGCTAGCTCCACATTGTGCTTTATTGAGTTGGGAGTTTGATTATTTCTTCCTGAACAAAGCTATTCTCATAGTTTATCAATCTTCATTGGATTTGAGCATGAATTAGTCAAATCACTATTAAATGTAAAGTGACCCCTTAGGGAGTCTTTGAAGCTTATGCTTTCTCTTTGGGATTTATGATGCATAAAGTTGTAATAAGGTTAGTGTGAAATGCCTTTTTTATTGAGATATAATTGACATTCAACATTGTATAAGTTTAAGGTGTACAGTGTGTTAATTTGATACACATATATTTTAATTCGATCACCACCATAGCAATAGCTAACACCTCCTTCATGTCACATAATTTTTTTGTGTGTATTGAGAACATTTAAGATCTAGTCTCTTAGCAACTTTCAAGTACAGATTACACTACTGTTAACTATAATCACAGTGCTGTGCATTAGATCCCCAGAACTTATTAATTCTATAACTAGAAGTTTGTACCCTTTATCCAACACCTCTCCAATACCCCCACCCGCTGGCAACCACCATTCTACTTTCGTTTCTGTGAGTTCAGCTTATTTAAATTCCTGTCTTTCTCTGACTTATCTCACTTGGCTTAATGCCCTCAAGGTCCATTCATGTCATCACAATGGCAGGATTTCTTTCTCAAAGCTGGATAACATTTTAATATTATATACATGCACACAACATCTGTATCCATTCATCTGTTAATGGGCTCTTAGATTGTTTCTAGACTTTATATGGCCCATTTCAAGGTTTAAATCATATCATTGCTTCAAATAAAGTGGTATAAAAAAAATTAAATGGTGTAAAGTATCAATGCTTAAATCTAGACTATAGCTAATTTTCACAAAAAATACGTAAAATAAATTAAGCTCTCAGAATATGTATCTTAACTGAGATTGCATTCTGTTTTTATCTGCCCTTCTTTCCCATTAGACAGGAAGCTCTATGAAAACAAGGATGGGCTTTATTTTTATCACCAGCCTTTAGCATTGGCTGTGGAAGTTCTTTTTATAATTACTCTGCTCATTAAAAATTGGTTGGGGCGGGGCAGAAAATCTTAACTCTTTTTATGTTCAAAGCACAATACATAGACAAATATGTTATATCTGTTGTATTAAAATTTCATGAGACAATGATTAGGAAAAATTATCTAACAAGACTAAAAAAAAAGTCGTTAGGTGACAATAATGAAAAAAAGGTTAGTTAACACTATACAAACCTTGATTAAAATCTGACAAAGATAATACAAAAAAGAAAACTCACAGGGCAATCTTACTCATAAACATAGATGTAAAAACCTTAAACAAAATTTTATCAAACCTTAATCTAGTAATATTTAGAAAAGATAACCTTGAACAAGGTAGATTTATCCCAGAAAAGCAAGATAAAAAGTTAATGAAATTCTCACATTAACAGATTAAAGTTCTAAATTACTTCACCATCTCAATTACTACAGAAAAACATTTTATAAAACATTGATTCCTAATAAAAACTCTTAGCAAAGTAGGAGTAAAAGAGATCTTTCTTAATCTGATAAAGGGTATCATTAAAAAAAAAAACTTAAGCAAAACATCACATACTTAATAGTGAATTGCTGAATGCTTTCTGACATCAATAACGAGACAAGTACGTCTGCTATTCAAATAATACTAGAGAGTCTAGCTAGTTTAGTAAGTTAGGAAAAAGAATTAAAATGAGCAAGGATTAGGAAGGAAGAAACTAAAGTATCATTATCCTCAGATAATATGATTGTGCAGGTAGAAAAAAATTTAAATCTTCAAATTATTAAAATGAATGAGAAATTTTAGCAAGATTGTTAGATAAAGATCAATATATAAAAATAATTATACCTTTATAGCTGAAGATAATTAGAAAATTAAATTATTTTTCAAAAGGTAGCATTTACTATTAATAGCATCCAAAAATATGAAGTACCTAGAAATAAATGTAAATTTTGTGAGGAAATTATAAAACTTATGTACTTTAAAAAACAAATGGGGATATTCCATGGTTACAGATTGCATCAATATTTTAAGATAGTCAATTCCTCTTAAATAGATTTATAGATTCAGTGTAACCAAACATCAAATCCCAGAAGGCAAGGATTTCTTAAACAGAAAAGGAAAAAACTAACCATAAAAGAAACTATTGATGAATTAATTATACTACACTAAATTTAAGAACTTCTATTCATTAAAAGATACTATTAAGAATGTTAAAAAGGCTAGCCGCGGAGTATATGTGATACACATAACCAACAAAAGACTTGAAACCAGAATATATAGAGAAGTCAGTAAGAAAAAGACAACTCAATTTAAAATGAACAAAATACTTGCACAGGCACAAAGCAGGAAATCCAAATGACCATTCATCATAATAACTTCCTTAGTAATCAAGGAAATACTAACTAAAACCAACATGAGAGATCATTATGCACCCAACAATTTAGCAAAAATTTATAAGTCTGACAAAAGAAGTGTTGATGAGGAGCAAAGGTATTCTCATATACTATTGGTGGCAGAATAAATTGGTACAACTATTTAAGGAGACAGTTTGACATTATCTGGTAAAGCCGAAGATCTACGTACTCTACAACTCCGTAAAATCTCCTAGGTATATGTCCTATACAAATGCATGTACCGGGATACATCTATAAGATTATTCATAGCAGCATAATTGATAGATTATAATGTGTTCATAATAGATATAAATTGAAAACAACCCAAATCAACATAGAATGGATAGTGTTGTGCTACCTGTTCACCCAATGGAATAATACATAGCAAAGGCAAGCTGTAATGGGTGAAGAGAGTCAAAAGGTTCCAATGTAAAATAAATCCTGGGGACATAAAGTACAGCATGGTGACTATAGTTGATGCTGTGTAGCATACTTGAAAGTTCTAAGAAAGATCTTAAAAGTTCTTATCACAAGAAAAAAAATTCTGTAACTATGTATGGTGATGGATGTTAACTAGACTTATGCTGATCATTTCTCAATATTCGCAAATATCAAATCATGTTGTACACTGGAAACTAATATAATGTTGTATGCCAATTATACCTTGAAAAAATAAACAAACAAAATGGTGGGGATGGGGGAGTCAAACAATATTTTATTTAAAAAACAAGCTCCTAAGTTGATTCCTTGTATATAATATCCAATAATAGGCAAAACTAGACTACTGAACATTTTTAGGACTGCATACCTTTGTGGAGAGAAAAGGGGTTGCGATCAGAAAGGTGTATAGAGAAAGCTTCTGAGGAGTCAGCAGTGTTGTATTCCTGATAGGACCGTTAGTTACATGGGTATTTGCTCTTTATTTGTTAAACTATGTTTTTGTCATTTTTATGCACACATATTATATTCCACAACAAATGTTTTTTTTAAAAGATTTTAATAAATTACCATGCTTATAAATTTTTTTAATTGCTTGGTGGAAGAAGCTTTAAAAATTCTATAATCCAGTGGTTTTTGAAAATCTGTATTCCAAAGTCCTAGAGAATAGAAGGTTTTCCACTCAAGTGAGGTGGAGAAAAAGTGAATAGTTCTAAATCACTTGAACCAGAGGATTTGTGCTGTTACCCATTTCATACTTCTTACTCCCAGGCACTGTGTCCGGAGAGAAGTATAGGGTACGTCTTTTTCAGACACGAGGATCTCTGACTCACCCTGTACTCCTGCTTCTTTTCAGTCACCACCACCCTAGGTTCCATGCTAGCTAAAGAAGAGGAATGTAGCCCTAAGCCTGCTCGATATCCCCCAAGTACTTTATTAACAGAGGCTTTACCTGAGTGGGTTTACTGAATAATGAAGTAGAACTCAGATATTACTTTACATCTCTTGGGAGGCAGCATGGTGTTTGTAAAGAAGATGCATCTTGGAGACAAATTACCCTTTCACTGACCAGCTGCACATGCTGGAAAGGTGTACATTATCCTCTTTATACTTAAGTCTATTTGTTAATAAAACTGTTAATAAAAATGCCTGGCATGCAGTAGTTACTCATTGTTTGTGTTCTTCCAACCTGATCCTAACTCTGTTTTAATTAAAATTTTAATATCTTTGGGATGTCTACCTCATTTTTATTTCTTTTTAGGCAGTTTTGTACAACGACAGATCTGTTCTGGAGAACCATCATGCTGCATCAGCTTGGAATCTATATCTTTCTAGCTCAGAATACAACTTCCTTCTTAATCTTGATCATGTGGAATTCAAGCGCTTTCGTTTTTTAGTCATTGAAGCAATCCTTGCCACAGATCTTAAAAAGCATTTTGATTTCCTTGCTGAATTCAATGCCAAGGTTTGTTATGCAAATTAATGCCTAGTTTCAAAGAATGGAAATGATTGTCGGTGTTACTGATAAAAGTACTTTTTAATATTAAGTTAGAATACTACTCATGAAGTCATAATATCTAATGTAAGATAATATTTATGCCAATATTTTAAAAAATAAAATTTTTATTTTACCCTAATACTACTGCTTGCTACATTTCCTCTCTGACACATAGACTTGTATTGTTGTAACTCTCATACAGTGACAAACCAATTATGTCAAAAGCTTTTAGGGGCAGATTTGAGAAAGTGTTGTACAGTGCCAAGTAAGGCACTTTGTGAAATTAAAGATGTGCTTCTAAGAAGCTAATTATAGCTGCTTTGCCACACCTGTTACGCCTTTATATCAGTATTGAACTGACTGGTATGAGAGAGAAGTGCCCTCTACTTGAGAGTAATGCACTCATTGAACAACTATTTATTGGGCTTGCTCACTATGTGCAGTCATTGTGTGAACAAAGAATAAGGAAAGAATAGGTCAAGTCCCCGCCCTCAGAGAATTCACATTCACTAGGAAATTGAGAATCACTGCCCTCAGGTGACAGTGGTAGTAAATGGAGTGTGTTCTATCCCTTAGACATTTGGGGTGAAAAACAGTTGAGAACCACTGCTTTAGATTCCAGAGGGAAGGATACCCACCTTTGTTGGTAGGGAGCTTTTGTTTTCTTGATGACATTCATGACCTAAAGGAAGGTGTACTATAGTAACAAAGGAGTACTAGATTGAACCCTCCGGAAGGAGACCCTACATATGTTGCTGTTGTGATATTAATGAAATGCTTATAAAAGTCAGTGAGAAATCAGTATGCCTTTAAAATTATTTCATAGTTGTGTAGCTCTATTAACTTTTATTTTTATTTAATAATAATTCATTTAAGTGCTTAAGTCAGAGTAATAGAAGTTTTTTTCTTTTTTTTTTTTTTTTAACAGGCAAAAGATTATCTAACCCAATGCCATTTAACCTATGTTCCTCAGAGACTTCTATAGTCTCTCAGAAAATTCCACATGTGTGGGTCTCTAGACCTACAGTTACAATAAAAAGAGCTCTCCTTTTAAGTGTTTTCTGTAGTGGTGGTCTGCATAAATTTTCCTTTGACAAAAGGGTTTGGTGCCCAAAGACTACTATCACACTGAAGTTCAAAAGCCACTGATCTGGTCTATTCACTTCATTTTCTTACAGGAGGAAATTTGAATTCTTGAAAGGCATAGTAATTTGCCTAATTAATAACAATAATTACCACTTATTAATTAAATAACAATGTTAGCACTTATTCGGCATTTACTATGAACTAGGCATTTTTCATTTGTTAATAATCCTCATGGCAATACAACTAAATTGGTATTACTTTTCCTATTTTATAGATGAAGAAAGTGAGACTCAAGGAGATTAAGTAATTTTTGCAGTGTTGCACAGTGAAATTAGTAAATCATTCCGAGTCAGGATTTAAAACCACAGGGATCAGCTTCTAAGTAAGACTTGTGCTGTGTTCTTTCAGCTATAACATAATTGCTTTTCACAGCTAGAGGCAGTTTCTCCTTAGATATTTAAGTGTTCTTTTTTGAGGTAGAAATGGTTACAATTCTTATATGATTTATTGATTTTTTGCATATATATAATATATACATATCTAGATTATAATTCTCTATAGTAATCAGAAATGTTGAAACCCACAGTTATAAAATACAAAAACCCATGGTGTTTATAGTCTCTGTCTCCACTGAAACAAAATTATAATGACACTTCAAATTTAAGGGAAACTTTTAAACCATAGAGTTCCAGTGTTATGGCACAACTGATTAAAAGAAGCATTTACTGAAATTCCTTCCTGTCATTTGGATAGGAAACGGTTTTAAGATAATTTGCTACAAACAAACAATAACAAAACTCCTGTGCCCTCAGAATCTAAAATAATTCTGTTCTTCCAAAATAGGCCAATGATGTAAATAGTAATGGTATAGAATGGAGTAATGAAAATGACCGCCTCTTAGTATGCCAGGTGTGCATCAAACTGGCAGATATAAATGGCCCAGCAAAAATTCGGGACTTGCATTTGAAATGGACAGAAGGTATTGTCAATGAGTTTTATGAGCAGGTAAGTTGAAACAGGAGATTGATGGGATTTTTAAGAACTGCCATCTGAAGACATTACTCTTTGAGATTTGGATAAATGCATTAAATGTTTAATATTTTAGTTGCTTTGACCAAAAATGGTCAGAAATTGTTTCATTTGCTCTGGTTTTAGTATTTTCTTTTTGCCTTTGCTGCTAAAATTTAAAACAGCAAAAAATAGCTCATAGCCTATTGTGGTGGGTTGAATGTACTCAAGTCTAGAGGTAAGGATAGACTACGTTGCGATTCCAGGGTCCCTTTCAACCCTGAGAGCCTATGACCTAGGATAGCTTATTTCTAAATGAAGTTGTTTTTAATCGATTCAGGGTATACTTGGATTATATTTAAAGAATATCAGCCAATTTTCAACTCTGCTAGAAACGGGGACAAAGTAGATACTTAACGGTTTTCAAGGATTCAAAGATATAAACGTATTATTTTCTCGTTTTAAAATCTCGTCTTTAAAATAATCCTACCACCTTGCAGCATCTTTACCATTTTTTGAGGTCCAATTATGAGACTCCCTACAATATAGATGTATACTGATTTCCCCAGAGCCTAACATTTCACTATCTCCAAAATATCAAACACACCTTCTTGACTTTGGAATTGAATTTCTTGGGAATCCTTATTGGCTCTGATGATCAGGAAGTTCAAGATGTCTACCCAAACAACCTTAATATATGTAAAGTCTTAGAACAGTTCCCGACACTCAAGTGCATAATAAATGTTAGCTATTATAATTCCCAATCTATCACTAAAAATAATACATTATTTCAGATGTTTTCACTTAATCTTTCTAGGTTTCATTATTCATATGTCAAAGGAGAAAAATTATATCCTACTGCAGAGTCATGAAGGTTAAATGTACTAATCTATATGAAAGTCCTAGTCAACCCTCATCAAAACTATTAAATTTCTTCTGAATCTGCTTATGCTATTAAACATCCTTCAGATATGGATGCAGAATTCTAACCTTGCCCATCTTTTTTGCATCTTAACAATACCTTTATATTCTCATAGCCATTTAAGTGTGGTGGGCTTAGAAAAGCCATACTTCAGATATGGATGCAAAATTCTAACCTTGCCCATCTTTTTTGCATTTTAACAATACCTTTATATTCTTATAGCCATTTAAGTGCAGTGGGCTTAGAAAAGCCAACCTTCTACCCTCCCCACCGCCACCAAAAAATAGCCAAACCTATGAAATTGTAGAGTCTTCTGGACAAACCCAACTTTAAAAAAATTAATATTTTCTTCCTCATAGAAAATAAAAGTCATAGACATTAATCATGAGACAGTTACTCATTGGGACAATTTCTGATGGTTTCCTTAAGGGTATGTGGCTCATCTTGCCTGCAGAATGTGTGCCTTGTGGAGAATATTCATCCCTCACCAGTTCAGATGCTAGGAACTAAATCGTTAACAGTACCATTTGGGGAAGCTCAGCACTGCAAAACACTTCACATAATATTGCTTTTCATCCTCATAGCAACCCTGTAAAGTAGATTATTCAAACATTACACATGAATTGGGCATAGAGCTTGCCCAACACCATAAAGATAGTAGGTGGCAGGGGGTGGTTTTAAAACCACATCTGTCTGATCTCAAATTGTGCTCTCAGAACCCAGAGAGCATGGTGAGAGGGTATCACAGGGCAAGCAGTTGGGGCTCTGGGCCCCAAATCCTCACCTCAATCACAGTAGCTCTACTTCTTTCTATTTTACATTTTAGGTTTTCTGATTAGATCGCCCATACTTATTTTAAAAGATGTATCTTTTTCTTTTTAACTAAATATCAACCATACTGGTTGGTGCAGTGTGAGAAAAAAAGTCTTGTTTAGAGTTGAAATGAGAATAATATTCATTGATGCTTCTTTTAAAAATTATTTTGATGTAGACTCTCCTTATTAACAAACCAAAATAATTTTAACAGCAAAGCTCAGTGGTGGTTTTTTCAACAGTTAAAAAATGTGCTTTTCTTTTTAAAATGATCAGGGAGATGAAGAAGCAAATCTTGGTTTGCCCATCAGTCCCTTCATGGATCGTTCTTCTCCTCAACTAGCAAAACTCCAAGAGTCTTTTATTACCCACATAGTGGGCCCCTTGTGTAACTCCTATGATGCTGCTGGTTTGCTCCCGGGTCAGTGGATAGAAGAGGATGATGATACTGAAAGTTATGATGAAGATGGTGAAGAATTGGATACAGACGACGAAGAAATAGAAGACAATCTAAATCTTAGTAAGAAATAGGAATATTATAATTTTAATGTTATTAACTGAAAATGTTCATTTAATTTGTTTTTAAGATACAGATTTTGTAGTCTTATCTTGAATAACTGCTTTCTAAATAGTCATATTGAATAGCCTTGTTTTTAAGGAACTGTGGGCCGGGTACCCAGGCTAATGCTGTCACACAAGCATTCTTAGTAAAAGTAGCATCTCTTGCGGTGTTATCCTCCAGCCACCAGCGCTTCAGTAGTCTGTACCGTGCATGCATGATAGGGCTGTCATTGTATCTGGAAATACATGAGGTGGGTGCATCCTAGTGGCTTGTCCTCCTTCGCCTCACCCCATCTTTCCTCCCCTGTTAATCTGCCCTTCATTTAGACTTGTGAAATAGGTCGAAACAGTTGGGAAAAGAGGAAAACATAAATTTCCTGACTAAGAGAACCAAATTTTGAGGCATTATGGATTTGAATTACCAAACTGTACACACAATTTTCTATATAAATCAGTATGCCTTTAAAATTATTTCATAGTTGTATAGCTCTATTAACTTTCCCTTAATAAGCATAAATGGAAAGTGAAAAAATATTTGTCACTTTTGTAACTGTAAATAAAATGTTATATGCTCTTTAAAGTAGAATTTAAATTATATCTAGATAATTTTTGTTTTCTAAGCATAGTAGTCATCAGAACAGATAACTGTGAAGAACCCCATTACCACAATCACCACCACCCGACTGCACCCCTTGCAGAGTAGTATTCGGGATTTCCAGTGAAGAGCCATCTTATGCCATTACCATCTGAGTATCATCTTGGGAAAGTTGACTGGCTTCTAAAAAATATTTGTACTCACCAAAATTTTGATAATTGTGTTTCATTCAATACATAAAATATTCAAAAAGGGTTGCTTTAACTTCACGTTATTTATCATTTGAAATTTCAGTACCTTCCTCTCCCCCTCCCCAGTCCTATCTTACCCCTTCTCTGTAAGTATTATGGATAAAAATAAAGATTTTTAAATTATTAAATCATTTGTTAATAAAAATAAAAGATTTAATAAAGGATTTAATAAAAATAAATCCCTTATTTTTATTCATAATACTTAACACCACCTAACATACTTATGTTTTGCTTCTTTATTTGCATATCTAGGTCTTTCCACTAGAATGGGAGATCCATAGTGCAGGGATTTTTATCTTATTGTTTATTACTATAACCGCAGTGCTTAGATAAGTGCCCGGAATATAACTTAGATATTTATTGAATGAATGATTGAATCATGTTACTATAATTAGAATATATGTTTTAAATTTCACAGAACCGCAAAGAAGGAAAGACAGACGGCGAATATTTTGTCAGCTAATGCACCACCTCACTGAAAACCACAAGATATGGAAGGAAATCATAGAGGAAGAAGAGAAGTGTAAAGCTGATGGGAATAAACTGCAAGCGGAGAATTCTTCCTTACCTCAAGCAGATGAGATTCAGGTCATTGAAGAAGCAGATGAAGAGGAAGAAAGACAGTTCGATTAAAAGATATATTGAAGAAGCCCAAGGGCCGTGCCCAGTGTCAGAAATCACTTGTTTACTGTGTTTTCAACTGACCATTCTTACGTGCACAGGCCTTAATACTGTGAGGGGATCCTTGCCGTGCCAGCAAGTTCCCACTCTTAGGCACTTTCACCACAGAACTAGAAAACCATTCTTAGAGTGTGGCTTCACTTGACTCATGTAGCAAAGCCCTTACATAATGCCTTCGCTGGAGTATAAATACTTTGTTGTGATACTGCTTTGCTTAGTAGAAATCTTATTTTTCATGAGGGGTAGCTATAACCAAAAACTCAAGTGACTGACTTCAGTTTCCAGAGTGGCCAGAACTTTTTGCTTTCATGAAAACGAGATTCGTATTTTATTTCCAATGTGTCCTTTGTCTTTGAATGTTTTGGGAAAAAGTCTGTGCCTATTTAAAAAGGAATCCAGTGTTGCCTTTCCGAGGGATTTGTTCAATGCAATACACTGTTGAGTGTTCTTTCAGCTAGGACTGAGTGACCTTTGTTATATTTAACAAAATCCAGGTGCATCAATTTCTGATGCTTTTTACTGTTGTGTATTATCTATTATGTGTGTTTTATTTCTGCTCAGAGTATTCAGGTTTGCCGTGGACATCAGAAGTCTGAATTCCAGTCTTATTGACTTTATATTCCATGGTCAAATTTTAAAGATGTTCAGGTTCAACGATGAAGGAATTTTACTCTTTAGTCAAAACTGTTCTTATTTTTACTCTTGCTCAGGATTAGTATTTTTAAACATTTAATTAATGTAAACAGAGATTTTCAGAAAAAATTTTCCTAATATTGATTTTAACTGTGTATTAAAATGAACATTATTTTCTTTTAAATTTGAGACTAAAGGAAAAGATGTCTTTTGCCTTAAAGTCAAATGAGACTAATCCTATCAAAGGAAAAAAGAGTTCTAAAGGACACATACATTGAATAAGTAGGAATATGTGCTTATCTTTAGATCCATATCTTAGGTGCCATGTGTTTAGTTACTGTAAAACTGATGTTCATCTTTCTACTAATTTCCTTTTGCCATGAGACTACATGACAAAAATGACCTATGACTACTCAAAACTTCTAGAGCCCAATGAAAGTCTAATTTCTGAGAAAGTAAATGGTGGGAACACTTAATTTTTATATAATAAATCTTAACAATCTTAGTAAATATTCCACACAAAAGCACATTAAGGTAATTGCAAAGAAAATGGGACATATGTACAATATTTATAAACTTATTCGTTTTTCTGTTATGGTACAAATATGTACCCTAGTTGTGAAAAAATTTTGAAGATATAAAGAGCAGCCAAAACGATAGCAAAATGGTAGACTAATATTATTTCTGAAGATCGTATTACATTTTTAGATCCATTCATAGCTTTTGTAGACAGTGAAATCATTAATTTTCCAAGGTCATTCCTTTAAAATATGTCGGCAGGCAATTTCTTACCTAGAATATTTGGCATATCTGAAAGATATCAATTAAAAAAAACCTATGGAACTGTTGAAAGTTTTAATCCTGTAGACTATCATAATATTTAATGAATCACTAAGCTTTATTTATTACACATGGTGAGTGTTGAGTTTCTTCTCGCCACTTTTGCTACCATTGCCACATCATTTGTAAACCGGTCCCACATTATTAATAAAATTTTAATTTATTGAGTTTGCACTTATAATGTATATATCCTGTGCTTCTATTTCTCTAGAGTGCATTTTGCATCCACATGGGTATATTTCTGCTTTTGTAAAGTACATGTATGTGTATAAATTCACACATGTGCATGTATGTATAAATGATACAATCAAATTTCCTTACTATTTTATTAAAATTTTGTATTGAGGTTTAGTGTATATTTTTATTTTCTCAAAAAGCATGTTTTTCTATTAAAAACACTATTACTGAGAACTCATTTTTATGTAATTTAACTCTTAAATTACTTAACCTTTGCTAAATAATTGACATATATTAAAATAACCCAAAGAAACACTAAGAAGTATCCTTGCTGAAAGTTAAACTCATAAATTGTAAGTAATGAATGTGAGAGTTTATTAAGTATATACAGTGCTACTAGAAGGATTCTTGAGAAATTACTGTAACCATACTGCAGATCCTATTTTGGTTTCTACTCAATTTATTATAATTTTTGTCATGCATTTGCTGTTGTTTTAAGTCACTGGTCTTAGAAACAATCTTATAGTACTATATTACATGTGCTTATTGACATTTTTCTCTCCATAAAAACCTACTTTTTAACATTATTTCATGATTTGAAGTCTGTTTCCTGCTATTCTCACTTGTTTTGCTGGTGCCGTTGGCTTTTTCTACTTATTTTTACAAAATTCCTGCAAATTCTGGCATTGCTTGAGTAGTCAGAAATTTCCCTCCTCTCTCTAGATTACATCATCTCACAGGAACAAACGTCACAAAAGAAATGAATAGAGCCTACTCTTTTGTGTCTTTATTATAGTTGCGAGGCTAATCTGAGCATCCCTAGCGAGTGTGTGGGAATGGCAAGTGGCATGTGGAACAGGGAAGAACACTTTTTCAGAGGCAACTGACTTATGCTGAGAACTGACGAATGATGAATTAGCTCAGATATGATAGCTTGTGGAGAGAGAAGAGCAGCACGTGTACAGGCCAAAAGAAGAGAAAGCATTCCCACACTGGGCGGGGGCCAAAAGAAATTTAGGGTGGCTAGAACACAGAATGCAAAAGGTAGAGGGTGGTTAATGAAAGACCTTGTAGAGCATGACAATTGAGTTTTAATTTGGAAGAGTCATGTTAAATGGAAGAATAAGATTAGACATGGAGAGATCTCAGTGATCTAGACTACGATAGATTCTAGGGCTACAGGGAAGTAAATGGACTTGATTTTGAAGATGTAGAGTCAATTTGCTCTGGTGGTGAGAAAGATGACAGAATTTCAAATTCTGATTTGGACAACTGTCAATGTTGTTCACTGACATAGGGTATTATCAGAAAAGGAGTAGATTTTGTTATGTGGTGGAGGGTGAGGTGTATATATATCCTACTGGCTCTCTTTCTCTGGAGAACTTTAATAACATCACCAAACACAAGGAAATAACCATAAGAATAACAGAAACAAATAGATTTAAACTCCTCGATAACTTTAGATGCTGCATTGCATTATCAAAAACAAAATAACGATCATGTATGAAATGTCTAAGGAAATAAAATGGATAACAAAAAAATGAGGAAGCAATAAAAAACTGAAAAGTAATCATGCTATAAAACTGACAGCAAATTTCTTATTACCAAAAATGGAAGCCAGAAGATACTACAACATTATCTTCTAGTGCTGAGGAAAAAATAACTATCAACTTATAGTTAATCAGCAAAGCTACCAAGAACAAGGGTAAAATAATGACATTTCCAGATAAACACTGAGATTTTCCCATCAACAGGCTAACCTAACAATTTTTAAAGTAGTGCTTATAAAGATTGCTGTAATATGCATATGAATCATTTGGTGATATGGTTAAAATGCATATTTCAATCTAATAAATCTGTAGGGGCCCCAACAGTCTATATTTCTTAAAAGCAGGTCTCTGAGGGTGTATATTTTTTAAAAGCTCCCAAGGTTATGTAATGATGCTGCTAGTGTGTTGACTACACTTAGAGTAGCAAAATTCTGAAGCATATACTTTAGGAAGAAGAAAAATGACTTCAGAGAGGAGATGTGAGATGCATGGAGTAAAGATAAAAGCAAAGAAATGAACAACTTGCTTAGTAAGGTTAGTCATTTTTATAAACAAATTATTTTGTGGGGCTTAAAGAAAAAATCCTATATTAACAAGAGAACATAAGAAAGTATTTAAAGTTCCTTAAGGGTCTTGTATAGTTTAAGATATTTAGACTGTTAAATTATGTATATATGCTAAAATGAAAGAATTACTAAAATTATAAAAATAAAGAATATAACTTCTAGACCAGTAAGGGTGGGGGTGGGGGAAGGATAAGAAAAAAGACCAATAAAAATACAATGAATGAGAAGAAAATCAATAGGACAAATGGAGTAAAAAACAAGGTAGGAACAAATTTTAAAATATCAACACCCACAAGAAATGTAAACTAGAATAGATCTGCCAGTCCAAAAATAGTGACTATCAGGATTTTTTTAAAAAGCCAACATTTACATAGTACTTATGTGCTAATCATTATTCTTAATGATTTGTGACTTACGTATATTTTATAATGACCCTTATTAGGTATGTATTTAATATCTGACAGAGGCGGAAATTCACCAGGCACATAAAATAAATATACTTAATATCTCAATGATGCATAAATCAAAAGTTGATAAAACTATAGAGAAAACTTGACAAATGCACAACCCGAGTGGGAGATTTAAAACAAGTTAAACAGACCAAAAGTTAATAAAAATATAAACAGTACAATGAATAGTCTTGATTTATTGGACATACAGAACCAAAACACAATAGAGAATATATATTTTTCTTAAACATCTAAAGAACATTTATAAAACTTCACCATGTACTTATCTATAAATTAGCAAGTGTTAATACATTTCAAAGAGTATATCATACAAACTATGTTCTCTAACTCCAGGGTCAAAAAATAAATCACAATAGGAAAAAATGAATGATAATTTAAAAAATCTGTACTACTTTCCAAAATTTGAGATGCAGCAAAAATGGTACTTGAAGGGAAACATATCATTAAAAGTTTATATTAGGAAAAAAGGACTAACAAATTAATGAGCTAAGTGTCCAATTAAGAAGTTAGGAAATAGAGTGTAGATATACCACGTTAACAAATTAAGAGTAAAATCATATGATCATCTCAATAGATGCAGAAAAAGCATTTGATAAAATTCAACATCCATTTACGATTAAAACTCTCAACAAAGTGGGCATAGAGAGAACATATCTCAACATAATAAAGGCCATATATAACAAGCTCACAGCTAACATCGTAATCAACAATGAAAAATGAAAGCTTTTCCTCCAGGATCAGGAACAAGACAAGGATGCCCATGCTCACCACTTTTATTCAACATAGTATTGGAAGTCCGAGCAAGAGCATATAGGCAAAAATAGAAGGCAACCAAATTGGAAAGAAAGAAGTAAAACTATCACCATTTGCAGATGACATATTTTATATAGAAAACCCAAAAGACTCCACCAAAACAAACAAACAAACAAAAACTTAAATTCAGTAAAGCTGAAGGGTATAAAAATCAATATACAAAAAATTTACATTTCTTCACACTAATAATTATCAGAAAGACAAACAGAAAATTCCATTTTCAATTTCCATTAAAGAATAAAATACCTAGAAATAAATTTAACAAAAGATATGAAAGACCTGTAAAC